GTGAATGTTAAATAGAAAGCACTGGTGAATGTGGCATGTTGTATAAAATGCTTTGAGTGCTCTGTTAGAGCAGAAAGGTGATAAGAACCAGTGTTACAGATATCTACCTGAATCTGTGGGAGGTTATAAGAACATGTAGTCATAAGTCTAGTAAGTGAACGGGTCAATATATGTGTCTTTCTTTACATACATGTAAATACAGGGACAGCGTGTGTCAACAATGTGGTAGTGGAGTTTTTATTTTTATTTATAACTCCTAAACCTTCTAAGCTGCTAATCACTCCCACCTGTTGAGCCGCTCTGTCTCAGACTCCAGGCTGAGGGGGCTGGGACAGAGACTGCCCGAGTTAACTGATCCCAGTGGAGATCCATCCCCACCCACAGTCAGAGGCGTCACGGCTCTGTTGGCTCTCCTGTGGAGTAAAGGTGAACCAGGATAGGGGGGCGAGGCCCAGTCTGGACTTGGGGCCCCAGCAGTGGGCCGGTAGGAAGGAATGTGGCCGCCAGACCTCCAGGCTTTATGGAGACCAACCAGCTGAAACACAGGAGAAAGGCAGGTGCACTGTGTTTACTGTATCTTTGTCCACTGAACGAGATTCACTCTGGCTAATGAAGTACGAGACATCTTCTCCCACCTTGTTCTTCTCCTCTTCCACCTGGCTGATGCTGCTCTGCGGGGGGCTTCTGAGAGCAGACTCCTGTTTGTCCCCATCCAGCATGTCTTCCTGGTACTGGTCTCTTGGGAAGCTCGACCGGCACGAAATCCCAAACTCTCTTTCCATCTCTTCCAATACCTGTCAGAAATGAAGCAGGATCATGAAAGGGACTGATGGAAGTCTAAAGACAGTCTGAAGAATGACATTTTTTTCTCATAAACCGATCCTTGCTGAATTTTCTTTTTTTATGAAAGAAGAAGAGCCAGTATATGGACCTGAAGCTCTTTTTCTTGGGCTTTGCAGCTTTAAATTACTTAATAGATATTTTAATTGTGATTATACTTATTTGTTTTTAACTTATACCTGGCTGGCTTTAACCCAGTTCTCTTGAGCTGCTCTCAGATGCTCTCTGTGCTTTTCCTGGTCAGAAGCTGTGATGGGGGCCGCCCAGGTCCTTCTGAAGCTGATGGAGTCCTCCACTGAAGATAAAACCTCCTGCAGTTTGCTCCAGACAACACCACTGCCTCCTAGTGGAGAGAAAGCAAAGGTGCAGGGATATATGCAGTATATGATGCTCAAACAAACATAAAATATGCAATAAAGGACATAAATATAAAATATTAATCGTTCTCTTTGGTGGAAGCTTCTGGATTGGATGAAAGTGCATGGCATCCAAACTGATAAGATCTGCTGATGAACGAGTGACGCTATGGTAACGCCAACCTTGGTCATTCAGTGGAGGTTTAGATGTTGGGCTGTTTCTTTCTGGGCTGCTTCTAACGAGCCGGTGAGACAGAAGATCTGGAACCAGAGGCCTGGATGGAGCCGGCGGTCTCGTGTCATCTGGTTCACTGCAAGAGTAGTGCGTTTACACGAGCTATAGGTTGAATATCAAACTCCCTATTAATGTGAAAATATGTGTGGTATTGCCCACAAGGATGAATACAAATCCACAGATTTCAGGTGTCTTGTAAGGATGGCATTAGTATTCAAGTCAAAGTCGAGCCAAAGGTGATGCTGCAGTAAATCCAGCCGTCGCGCCGGGCGCCTCGCTTACCTCGGAGCTTTTAGTGACCCCATCTTCTTGTTCAGTTCAGCAATGATGTTGAGCAGCGTGCCCACTTCAGCCTCGCACTGAGCCAGCTCTGCTGGTGTAGGCTCGAGGATGACTGCAGGGTCACAGCCCTCGTGGTAGAGGGAGATATAGTCACTCGGGCTCATCGCCTCCTTGTCACACCTTGACCCTGCATCCAGACTGTCACATCTGCCTCGCCTGAAATCCTACAGAAACAAACGTGTTTGGACTGAAAGAAAAAATAACTTGGTGGACACATTCATTTAGTTTTTTGCTGTATTTTTTTGTATATTTCGTGCACCAATAATAACACACATCACACCCAATGTAGGCAACCTTCTTTAGTCCTGTGAACAAGCACCTTTCAGCGAGTACAGCAAAATAATCTAATCATATAATGTATCAGCATTAAAAATCTGTTACGCTATTGAGCAAAACATGTTTGGCAGCTATTGTTCTGAGCAACGGAAAAGGAGGAAACTAAAACATCCTGACATCCAACTTCCTGCCAAGCAAATATTTGTGGACCGAACCATCTATTGTTTTCATGAAGCTGAACAAATCTCTCAGACACAAAATGTTGAATCAGAACAAAATGTAACTTTTTTATTATGGAATTAACTACAGTTAGATGTAGAATGAAAATGTACTTTTTAAACGATTGAACACATACATCTTTTTAATAACACACGTATATATGGTGCAGGCCAGAGTTGGCAACATACTTGAAATTCCTTATCCTCATTACCAAACTATTCCCAGTCAGTGTCAGAGAAAAGTCATTTAGGCATGAAAAGGGGGAATAAAGACCTTATGCATGCTGTCAGACCAACTCTCTTAAGATTTGTGGATTTAATTACTTATGTGCAAAGTGCATGTTTTCAAACAGTAAAGAGTCTTACTCTGCCTTATCAATGGGGCAAATTAAATCATTTAAAAGTCTCTATTATGAGGCAGCAGCAGTTCTGCAAACAACAGTTCGTTTCTTATGGGGCACATTGGAGCAACATGCGACATCTGCATTAGGCATTTACCAGTGACAGCTTTGAACTGCATTACAAACTCATATACTGTGTCACATATCATAAGCTTTACTGGATTTATGTTGCTCCCAATCTCACTACACCTTCAAAACAATCCCTCAAACATTTCATCATAACTTACCTCCATGCTCGCTGATCTGTGTGTCTGCAGAAGTGACTCAGTTTACCACGTGTGTAAAAAAATAAAAAATAAAAAAAATTGACAAAATGAGGGTCTGTTTTCTTCCGTCCTACTATTTTGTGTAATTATATTTTCCAAGAGTCAGTCAGTCTCTGTAATAAGTCTGCTCTCTCCATGTCTGCCTAACACTGTTTTGTGTGATGGGTGAAGTAAGTGGAAAAGTCATCCCCACCCATTCCCTTTCACTCTGAGTCCTTTCCTGTTTTGTCCGTAGTGTGCTTCCATGTCTGATTATGACCAAAGGGGGTGTGAATTATCCTATCTGGTTATAATGTGATATATATACGCAGGAAAATGCTACCTGTTTATTTTTTGGATACATTCTGCACACCAGTGTTGGCAAAAATATAGTAAAAGACTCACTTTGGTAGAATAAATTCAATACATCAATAAATCAATCGATTACTTATGCATGACAGTATCTGCGGACTCAAACAAAGCTTTTTATGATACTACTACTACTGTTACTGCAGTAAAAACTATATTATTAGGTCAGCAAAACTGTTTTTGAGCACCACAATCCATAAACTTCATTACCCACAATTCCATTGTGTTCCAGTTTCTGGTTATATCATTTCCGTTCAGGAAGTGTCCGTTCAAAACAAATGTTAGCTCGCTGTTGGAATATTTCTCAGTCCTCAATGAGTTTTTATCGTATATAAATACAAGACCTGTCGTAATAATTAAGTAAGTGCCTGTTCTTCTTCTTCCAAATGTAAAAGTTATACTTTAGTTCACAGAGTGACTGATTTGACGTATTTGTTTTAGTTAAAGCTAACTAATGCTAACGGCTAATGTTGCTACAGCCGTGGAGCATCAGCTGCTCTGTCTGCTGTGGTTTTTAGCACTTTGTCAGGTTTTCTGGTCGCATTGACTCAAGCTTTTGCCAATTAATAATATTTCCTGTAAATATACACCACTGTTTATCTACACATTACACTCGAGCTAACACGTAGAGAAGCAGTCCTTGTGTGTAACATGAACTTTACACTGGACTGAGTTTGCACTGAAAGTAGAAATATGATTTTAAAGTTAATGAGAATGGTTGTGTGGTGGGACAAGCGGTGTTTGCCGTTTATGAGAAGCCCGTGTTTAGGATTTCAGGTGGATTTGCACTTGTTGGTCTTTGTGAAGGATGGACAGCAAGCAAAATTAAAAATATTATACCAGCTTTGTCATACCTACCAATGTCAAGTGATTCCATTACCTGTTAAACGCTAGAAATCTTTGAGATCCAGAATAACTTATCTAACTTCACCTCACCACCTCCACTTCTGTAGCTTCCTCCTTTATCAATGGACACACCAGAGCCCGGCCAGGCAGATGGAGAGGAGCGTCTCGTAGAGCTTCGACCTCGAACGCGCTCCAACCCAGAGGGTGCTGAGGACCGACGAAGCAGCACTGGCAGCCTCGGAGGAAACGGGAACCCCAGCATATCTCAGCCTGCCGTGGGAAGTCGTGTGGAGGGAGAAGGTGAGGCCTCGACCAGCGACAGCCCTCCAAGTTCCACCACCGCAACCATCTCAGTGTCTACGGCTCAGGCTGTGGCTCCCACTGCCGTCACAGGTGCGACTGCTGCGGCCAGTGCTGCGGTACCACTGTCCACTACGGCCGTGTCAACCAAAGACAGGCCAAAGTCCACACAGCAACACCCCACACTCACCACGTCCGTCCCTTCACCGGCAGAGTATCAGCTCAGAGTGCCGCGCGTAAACTGCCCAGAGAAAGTGGTGGGTCCACTTAGCATTTCTAATTTTTGAAGAGTCACAAGAAAAAAAAAAGTCATTTTCACTGTCAGTTCTTCTCTTTTACGACAGATTATCTGCTTAGATCTTTCTGAAGAGATGTCTTTGCCAAAGCTGGAGTCCTTTAACGGGTAGGCGGCTGCATGTTAAACTTCACTGTGTGTCGTCAAAGTTTCACCGCCTAATTTGACTGTTTTTCAAGGTCTAAAACAAATGCTCTGAACATATCCCAGAAGATGATTGAGATGTTTGTCAGAACAAAACACAAGATTGACAAACGGCATGAGTTTGCTCTGGTGGTCGTCAACGATGACGCCCTGTGGGTGAGTACGAGAGCTGTTAGGATGCTTTTTTTTTATGTGTTACTTCTAAAAAATGTAGACGACTCAACACACTCTTAGCTGTTTGTTTGGGTATGATCATGTAGTTCCTTTTTGTTGTTGTTGTCTATGGCGGTTGAATGCACTTCCCTAATGTAACGTCATTTAATCCATCTGTGGACATATCTCAGCTGTCAGGCTTTACCTCTGATCCCAGGGAGCTGTGTAGCTGCTTGTATGACCTGGAGACCAACGTGTGCGAGTCCTTCAGTATCCTTAAACTGAAATTGACAAAAAAAATGCTAGTAACTTCTAGATGTTTGGTTTTGACCCTTAACTCCCCTTTTATAGACCTGGAAGATCTCCTTAATGTCATGTAAGTAACAGATCTGCTGTAAATTTGATTAAAAATGCGAGTTTTTTTAGCTTTTTTAGTGTTTCAACTGAGCGTTTGCTAATTTTGTGCCTTTGCAGACGTCAGAAAATCGAGCTGCCGTTGATGGAGAATATTCAGACTATCCCGCCTCCGTATGTGGTGCGGACTGTGCTTATCTACAGCCGTCATGCTGGGCAGCTGCAGTTCAACCCATCTGAGGCTGTTAGTGTAAGTACAGCACAGTCTCTCTTTGTGTCTGTATTTTAGTTTTTACACGTGCGACCTGTTCCTGACTGTGCACTTTGTGTTTCTCTGTCCTGTCACAGAAAATGCTGCAGTCGCCATATTTTTTCTTCGACGTGGTCTATTTGCACAACGGGGTGGAAGAGCAGGGGGATGAGACCAGCTGGAGGGTGAGTGCAGAAACTGGTGATGGAGGGTTATTGGTTCAAACTGTGTGCAGCAGCTCCATGTATCAGGTTTGACGCCCTTTTACCTTCAGAAGTGCCTTAAATCTGCATGGCACAGGTTCAACAAGGTGCTGGAAACATTCATCAGAGGTCTCGCTCCATAAACCATTGCATCAAATAGTATCCAGTCTCAAACCGACCGCAGCCTTAGACTGTCACTGACCGGGTGGTTAAAGGAGTCAAACAAGCTTCATGCTGTGCCACAGCGATGCAGTTACTGTCTTACCAAAGGGGGGAAAGTGTGGATGATTATTAACATGAGGAATAAGAAAACAGAGGAACATAAAATAACTCGAGATCAAGATCAAATCTGCTAAAATAAGTTAGTTCAGTGGATAAGACGACACAATAATGGCACACTGTGCGTGAGTGCTTTACTGACAACAAACTTGAGCTAGCAAGTATTACACAAACCACACTATACACTCATTGGTTACTTTCTTAGGTACACGCGATCAGTTGCTTGTTAATGCAAATATCCAATCGGCCAATCACATGTCAGCATAGCAGGTGATTTAAGTCACTTTAAACGTGACGTGTTTTGGTGCCTTAATGTTGAAGCAGACGGGCTACGACAGCAGGAGAGCGCACAGGCTGCCACTCCTGTCAGTAACAAACAGGAAACTGAGGCGACACTCCACACAGGTTCAACAAAATTAGAAGATTGGAGTGTGGCAGATATTTCCTTTGCACACTTCGGTCCTTTTAGTACCAGCTGAGAATCGTTTAAACCAGGGGTGTCTCGAGGGTGTCCTGGAGGTTTTAGATCTCACCCTGGGACAACACACCTGAATCAAACGATGAGTTCATTACCAGGCCTCTGGAGAACTACAAGATATTTAAACCTGCTGTGTTGGATCAAGGACACATTTGAAACCTGCAGGACACCTCGAGGCCTGGAGTTGGACACCCCTGAGTATTGTTGCTGACCACAGTGATGCGATCTCCTGATGGCTGCTCCCGGCAGCGTAACGCACCATCTCATAAAGCTTAAATCATCTCAAGCTGGTTTCTTGAATGTGACGATGAGATCGCTGCACTTAGATGGCCTCTGCCGTTAGAGCGCGTTGGCCGTTCGGATGTGGTGGAACGGGAGATTTCCACGATGACTGTGCAGCAACTGCGTGATGCTATCATGTCAAGAAGAACCAAAAACTCTGAGAAATGTTTCCAGCGTTTTGTTGAATCAGTGACCCAAAGGATTGAGACAGCTGAGACAAGCGGTACCAACAAGGTCCAGTGAGTGTATGTTGTAACCTTTGAATAGATCCAAACCTTTACTTGACTAAACATAAAGTACGTCCTTGTTTCTCTTCAGTGTTCAGCATGTTTGAAAAGCCTCTGTGGCATGTTAAATGTGAACCAGGGCACCGCTGTAGTTACTGGTTTGAGCGTTAAAGCTCTGCTCTGAGGCAATTCACTGCATGTCTCCCAGCTTTCATGTCTTCTCTCCACTGTCCCATCTCATTAAAGGCTAAGAGCCCCCCAAAATATATATTTGAAAAAATGAACCATCTATACCTCCAAGCTTATCTTCTAAAATATTTTCTGCACATTGTAAGACAGCGATGCCAAACTCTGGGCTGTGGAGCTTTTTCACGCCCGACTCACCTTCAAACCCTTTTCTGCTCTTGTGTTCACACCCAGTGATGATAAAACTGCTGCACTGACACTAACAACCAGCACCGGCCTTTTGATTCTGTATGTAAAAAGCTGTTTTACACTGTCTCACCTGATATTCTCTTAAACTGAGTATTTGCTTTTTCTCCAGGACAACTACACCTCGTTCAGTAACCTGGACTCTAAGGGCATGTGTTATCGCTTTGAGGTTTCCTTAGGCGGACCCGCCATTGAGCTGCACAATTGCATGGCCAAACTTCTGGCTCACCCTTTACAAAGGCCTTTCCAGAGTCATGCATCTTACAGCCTGCTGGAGGGGGACGACCCCCAGGACATCGAGGCAACCGTTTAAAATGGGACACTGGCTTCTCTGTGAAATCCACACGCACGCGTTTCAGTTTTTCCTCCACATTATGACCATTTTTTCTCTTAGCTGCTGTAATTCTTGTATTATTTGGGATGTAGGTGTAGATCCAAGGATAACCAAGGGGTTTGTATGTCCACACTAAAATAGACGAGTGATTTTTCTCATCTTAACTGCAGGAATCATGCAGCTGTTTGCTGCAGGTGTCGTGACAATGATTAAAAGTCCCAGAATCCAAGAAAAAGGTAAAAGAGCAGCTAAACGGTGTAACGCATCATTCATCCCTTGTTGCTTTCTAACACACCACACTGCTCCAAAGCAGGCGATCAGGAAACTGATAAACCTTAATTTGAAGTAGCGAATCACAGAGACACGTGTCATGAAGTCTGTGATCCTGCCTGTGCTTCTGTTGCCTGTTTTAATCTACTTTGTTTTATAACGGCTCGTTTTCTTTCTTAGCTGTCACACTTACGTTATGTTACATAGGCAATGAAAAAATAAAGGGTATGATTGTAAAAATGTCCCTTTGCACTGCCCGTAGATGCACGTCGTGTACAGACGTTTGTAAAACTGTTTCTGCGGATTAAAAAAGTTTGTTTAATGACACTTGTCGTGTTCGTGTATTTGATGTTTTTTTTTAATGTCTAGCTTTTGTCAGGAGATGGCAGCAAAGCCTCTGCTGCGATATTTCCCTTCAGCTGTAACTATGATCTCACTGCAGCTCAGATGTCTTTATTCGTGTTTATGGCGGTGATTAAGCAGTCGAGCAGCAGACGCCATTGTAAACAGGAAGTCTTCTCCAGTCGTAGCATGAAGATTAATTCAGTGTGGAGCTTCTCAGTCTGGTTCTGATGCTTCACGTGCTGTTTGAAGTGAAGCACTGACAGCATCAGTCACCTCTATCATATTCAGTTTGGTTCCCCTCGTTGTTGCTGAGCTGCAGCGCTCTGTCCCCCAGGTTGAGAATCACCGCTTTAGCTGTAAAATATGTTTTCCCGTCACCTCAAAGATGTCTCATCTGTTATCTTAAAAGGTGTCTTATCACGGTCTTCAGCCATTTGGTTTCCTGCTTTTGTTCACGTTATCTAACACCTCGTTCCCGACTCGTTGTCTTCTGTCACTCTTAACATGCCTCATAAATAAGTTTTTTCCACTCGAGGACAGGTTGTCAGGGAGACAATAGGGAGCAGGAAAGCTTCGGGCTCGGGGGCCCTTTCCCCTTTCACACCCTTCCCCGGCAGACCCGACTGCGCCTGACGTCACCGGCTCTGCCGTGGATGCCGTGGGTGGGACGGGGGGTGAAGGGTGTCTGCGCTCTGCAGGGAGAATTTGTTATTCCCCATCCCGACAGAGTGACAGGTCCCTATTGTTTTCCCTCCTTCACTCCTCCACTACCATGACTCCTTTCCGTGCTCGTTCAAGACAGGATGTGCTGGGAAACAAATTTTTTTGTTTGGCATTTTCTGCTTTTACTCCTTAAATGGTTTATATTGTTCATCAAGCAGCAGGGGAATACATCAGTCTGCAGCAGCTATAATTAAATAGGAATATTTCCTGTTGTTTCTTCATTATTTTTATATCACATGAAGTCATGGGTAAAAAGAAAAACATAAGCAGTCTTACTAAAGTACTGAACGTCTGTGCTTCTGGTGCACATGAGTCCTGACTGATTGGATATTTATCTGAGAAAATATGATGTATGTAGTTTATGCAAACTGGCTTTGAATGTGGCGAGAAACTGTTGATCTGCTGGGATTTTACTGCACAACCATCTCTAGTGTTAAAAAAGAGCTTTTATTTATGTAGTGGCAAATCACAACTGTTACTTTATACTGTAAGGTCAAGACCGTACAGTAATACAAAGAAAAACCAGAGCGCTTCAACTAGGGATGCAACGATACCAATTTTTTTCAAACCGATACTTGGATCTGAGTACTTGCCAATACAGAGTACAAAAACCGATACTTCTACCACACACACAAATGCAATGAATTGGAAGACAGGTTTTATTTTATTCTCT